TCAATGTGATCAAAAATAGAAAGATCAGGCCAAGTACAATGGCTCAAGTCAAATATCCTACCTACCTGGGAGGCAGAGATTGGGAGGATCATGGTTTGAAGCCAGCCCAGGCAAAAAGTTCCTAAGACCCCATCTCAACTAATGGCTAGTCATGGTAGTGTGCCTGTCATTCCCAGCTATGTGGGAAGCACAAATAGGAGGACCCAGGTCCAGGATGGCCTGGGCATGAAGCAAGTTTTTAATCTCAAAAATAAACAACCAAGAAAAGGGGGAGATGGAGGCGTGGTAGAGCTCCTGCCTAGCACAAAGCCCTCAGTTCAATCCCCAGTACAATAACAATAATAATAGTAATAATAACAGCAATAGAAAGATCATTACAAATGCTCAAGTAGTTTGGGTTTCACTGTTCTCATACAGGTGTGAAAATAGGTTAAATTTCAAAAATCTCTTTTTAAAGGCAATATTCTCTAACCAAAGATTAAACATTGGAAAAGTGTTCTAGGCCCTCTCAATGTGGCACCCACCTGCTATCTCCTACTCCCATACTTCCAGAAGGAACTCTGTGATACAGCCAAACTAGAAAACTCCTGGTTCTTGAGTATATCTTGGATGGGCCTCATCTCATCCAGTTTCCCCTGTTTAAAACATTTTCCTCTGCCCTTCCTGTCCCTCTGCAGAGGATCTACTTTTCTCTCAATTACTAGCTCAACCTTTAACCAAGGATACAAGTATACTGGTATATATTTTTTAAATATCTTCAGCAAAAGATATTTCATGTTTTATAATACTTTGACTTCATATGCACTTTTACTTTAAAATCTCCTCAAAGATAATTTTTGTTTCTTTGGAAAAGTATAAAACAATCTTCCCCTACAAATTATAATTGTTTTTAAAAGAAAAAGTATCATCAGATATAGAAAACAGGAGTAATTTCCATGTTTATACTTTGTGTGTAAATAGAGAATTGATATTCCTGGAGCCCTGATCTTGAAATCAAAATTATAGTGACAAGAGAGCTTTCAAGGCACTAGGCAGGTTTTGGTTGCAAGAATTTCAACCTATTTTTGATATACAATGTCCACATCTTGAATATCAAGGGGTGCTGGACTATCCTCAATAACTGATAAGCTTATTTAGTTGGATTTGAATTAATATTTCCTAAACATGGTTCTGACACAGAACGTTGAAAACTCTGCTCTTTCAGACCTGAAAAAAGGGGTACTCTGATCCAAGGAACACATGAAAGGAAACCAAGGCTAGAGATTTCATGGGCTGAGTAAAAGGAACCACGGTGGGAAAAGAAGACATAAATGAGGGAAATTTATAAATGTGAAAGGGAGACAACTAAGAACCTCTGGCCAGGAAGAACTTGAACTTGAATAATCACAGAAGCAGTCAAGGTTTTCATGCTATTGTCTATCAGTTAAGTCACACATTATTTCTCAACAAATGAGGAATGTGTATCCTAGATAAAAAATAATTGGCATAAGAGAATTAGTACAATTAGTAACAGACAACAATGGAGGTAATTTGGTGAAATGTCATTTTAATCATGGTATCATTACATGGTACCAGAGTATATCTGTCTCTATAGCATTAATAACACCTTTTGTTTCTTAGTATTTTACTAGCTGTTGGGAAAAATGAAAAATTTTAAGAAGCTATAAAAGAAAGCACAAAATAAACCAAAATTTAATGTTCAATTGCAAGTGTAAAATAATCAGTCCATTAGAAACATACTCTTTAAAAGCCTGATCTGTTCATATTTTAAACCTTTTAAGACCAGATATAATGGAATTATTCAAACATGTTACTTCAACATAGTTAAGATATTTATCAGTTCTGAATATTAATAACTGTATGGAATACATATTTACTTAAGTAGTTGATTTTACTTCATTCAGAAGTCTACTACAGGACTGGTAAATTGGCTCAGGTGGTAAAGTGCATGCCTAGCAAGTATGAAGCCCTGAGTTCAAACCCCAGTGCCACCAAAAAAAAAAGAAGTCTACTACATTTTTTCCTCATCTTCACTCTAAAATCTATATGCATTTGTTCTTTTGGTGGTACTGGGAATTGAACTCAGTGCCTTCCACTCACCTACCAAGTACTCTACTACTTGATCTACATCCTCATTTTTGCTTTTCGTTTGCTTTTCAGATAGTCTCCCACTTTTGCCCTGGCTAGCCTCAGACTGTAATCCTCCTACCTTTGCCTCCAGAGTATCTGGAGTTACAGGCATGTGCCACCACACCCCGTCCCCAGCATTTAGAAATAATTTAACTTCAAGGTACAATAAACCCAAACATTGTATGCACATATGAATAAACAAAAAAAAGGGAAAATAAAATATTTTCTAGAGGAAATTTAAGATTTTTTTTGGCAGTACAGGGGGTTGAAGTCAGGACCCCATGTCTGCTAGGCAAGCACTCACCACTTGAGCAATGTCCCAGCTCTTTTTGCATTATTTTTGAGATAGCCCTGGGCTGAACTGAACCATGATCCTCCTATTTATACCTCCTGTAGAACTGGAATGACAGGCACATACCACCACACCCAGCCATTGTTTGAGATGGAGTCTTGTGAACTTTTTGCTCAGGCTGGCCTCCAGCTGCAGTTCTCCTGATCTCCTCCCAAAGAAAATTTAAGATTTTTTATAATACCCACCATTAGCCACAAGTAGTACACAAATAGTTTAAAACATTAGGTCTAAGAATATATGATAAAACTAAACACACTAAACTGAAATATATCACCCATCACTTTTCCATTTCTCTCTAGAATTATATACAATTTTAGCTGCTCAAACCCTGTTTCCTAACTATTAAGAAAACTGTTTGATTTTGAATAGAAAGAATTTGACTTGATTAAATTTGAGGAAGAAGAATAAAACCAAATACGTAACATTTTTAAATAATGGTATTTTTTCATCCACAGGTGTGTTAAACTGTGGAGTACCAACAAATGAAATATTATTCCCCTATAAAAAGAGAAAGGAATTTCTCTTTGTTATGACATGGAAATTTCTAAAGACTATACTATTTTATGAAAATAGCAAGTTGTAAAAGAGTATAAATAATATTCCATCTTTTTTTATAATGGAGGAAGCAAGATTGTACATCTATAAAGAAACTCTGAAAATACACAAGAAACTAGTAAAATGGCCACCTATAAGGGGGAAAATATATTGTCTTAATTTTTGAGCCAGGTAAAGAAAGAATTTGCTTTTTTAAAACAGACCCAACTTGTGCTGGCAGAGTGACTCAAGTGGTAGAGTGCTTGTCTAGCAAGCCTGAGGCCTTGAATTCAAGCCTCAATACTGTCAAAAAAGAAAAGAAAGTCCCATCTAAATTAAATTTTAGAAGTAAAAAAAATATGATCATTACAAAAGTAAATAAAGTGCTTCAAACAAGGGATAAGTGGAAGGAATCCTTCTAGACTCCATTGTAAATTAAATAGAGATGTGCCCTTAGAGAAACATAGATGTGGTAAGTCTCAATGACTTATACATCCTGTAAAGTTCTGTATTCTAATGGTTCTACAATGATTCCAGTGGCTTTGCAGAAAGAACATTTTACTCAGAATTAGGAGATTGGATTCTAGCTCCAGCTCTGCTATTAAGTGGCTGTATGATCTTACACAATTACTTCCCAGAGCCTTCTTTTCCTGTCAAATAAGAACATGCAGAAGTGATCTTTACAGTTCTTTAGCATGATAATATGATTCTTATGCTACCTGTTGTGTATTTGGTCTTCCAAACCAGATTGCTAGTACCACGGGTTTTCTATTTCTTTGTCTCCTGGGCCTGGTATACCTTTGTAAATATTAATCAATGTTAAGAGAAAGAAAGTTGTTTACATATGACCTAGGTGATGATCAATAGGAAATGCAAAAGTGTGAAAGTTATAAAAAGCAATCTACATGGAAAACCGATTGCACTCTTTATTTGAACTTTTCCATACAAAAGATTAAATGAAGGAAAAGGTAAAATCTAAAAACATTCATTTTGTGCCACAGGAAAAAATGCAATGAGCCCAATATTTTCAAAACAAATATCTGAAGTGAGACTGCAAAATTTTAGCTAAGTTTTCTGGTCTCTGCACAAATTTAAAATCATAAGCTGGCTGGGAATATGACTTAGTAGGAGAGTGTGTGCTCAGCATGTATGAGGCCCTGGATTAGATTCCCAGCACCACACACACAAAAATATAAAATCATGAAAAATTAATTATGACTAGCCACTGAAATTCTAGTAACATATGGCTGCTTCAATTCCTTAATTTCTGACTGACAGATAAATTACCAAAAATCTATAAGGAGAAGCCCTTTATATACTTGAGTGGGAGGATTCATGTGTCCCCTTTTATAAGTTAAAAAGCAAATTTAATCTTCTCCCAAGTGGCTCATGCCTGTAATGAGAGCTACTTGAGAGGCACAGATCCGGAGGATCCCAGTTTCTAGTCCAGTCCAGCCATAAAAATTTTCAAGACCCTACCTCAAAGGAAAAAAAGCTAGGCGTCGTGGTGTACTCCTGTCATCCTAGTGAAAGCAGGGAGATTAAAAAGGAGGATCAGGATCCAAGCCTGAGCAAAAAGTGAGATCCTGTCATTAAAATAACAGAGCAAAAAGGTTGGAGGCATGGATCAAGCAGCTGCCTCGCTAGCATGAAACCCTGAGTTCCAATCCCAGTACTGAAAAAAAAAAAAACAAAAACACAACAAAGCAAATTATCATGTTTTATGTGAACTGAAAGAACACTCAGAAAAACTTCTTTCACATTTATGTGTAAGACTAGGTCTACAGTATATATTATTATGAAGACAACACAAAAAAGCAATATTCAACACTAAATAAAGCTGTGGATATCATTGACTACGGAGAACTTGATGAATGTACTTAAGATTATTATTATACTTCTTTTAGCATAACACTAAGAACATTTTCAATGGCTTTCCCTGTAACATTCTATGCTGTAAAATTAAACTATTATTGTCCTCTCAGAGACTAAGTAAGAAATAGTACCTTTGCTATCTTTGTCTAGAGGTCTGACTTCAAGAAATTTTGTCCTACCCATTTGAAGGAGCTAGCTTGATTCAGTCACAAGGTGGACTTTCCGATGCTGGATGAGGTTGCAGTGGTAGATAAAATTCTTGCCACAATCTTCACATTCATAAGGTCTCTCTCCAGTGTGAATTCTCTGATGCTTAATGAGGACAGAACGTCGACTAAAACTCTTCCTGCATTGATCACACTGGAAGGGTTTTTCCCCACTGTGAATTCTGAGGTGATGGAAAAGCCCAGCGTTCTGGCTGAAGGCTTTGCCACAAACTCTGCACTGGTAGCGCTTCTCCCCAGTGTGGAGTCTCTGGTGCTGGAACAGGCCTGACCGCTGGCTGAAGGCCCGACCACACTCATCACATTCGTAAGGTTTCTCACCTGTGTGTGTTCTCTGGTGCTCAATAAGGATGGAATTCTGGGTGAAGCTTTTTCCACATTCATCACAGACATAGGGTCTCTCTGCTGAAGCATTGACCCGTTGCCTTTCCAACTTGCCTTCATTGTCACAGGTATCTCCACAATTGGGCACCTGAGTAACATCACCATTCAGTTTTCTAGGTACTTCTTCAAGAGACTTCATTTCTTTAGCAATCTCCCTCTTTGTGGAGAACTCTGCATTCCAAGTCCCAGCCTCACCACCTGAAATAACAAATGGATTCCACGAATGTTATTTTCCCAAAGACAAGAAAAAAGTAATCAGAAGAGTGAGTAAAAGGAATAAGTAATTGCTTTTTCTATTTACTTTCCCAGGCTAAAACAAATACACATAGATCTCTGGGAAAAGATATTGTAACTTCTTATTTAATTGTTTGCCTCTCTCACAGACTAAACTTCATGAGAATGGGATCATATCTGCCTTTTTCATCGTCACCCCAGCACCTGGTAGACACTAAATAAATGTGTTCAATTGATGAACATTCAGGGGATGAGGCAGGCTCCCTGAAGAAATTCTAATCCTCACCAATCTCCTGAACTGGGCACACATACTGCAAGTTACACTGTAACTGCTCTTCCAAGATTTGGAGCTGGCCACTTGATGACTTCTGGGCTGCTCCTTGAGTTGCCTTCTCCTTTATAAACTCTTCCTGTGCATGAGCATGGCTTGGGACCTGGTGGAAATTAAGGAGAGTTGGAAATCAAATATCAGAGAGGACATTACAAGGAGGCCTTCTGAGGGCCACAAGTTAAAAAAAAAAAAAAGAACCAAGAAGCTGGCAAAGAAAAAACATAGGCAAGGAGATTAAGAGCTACAATGGACCACATCAAGCATTCAGAAATCCTCCTCCTTTTCCTCTTGTTGCACTGAAATCCCATATTGTTCTTATACTGTATTTCTTGCTTTTCTCATTGCAGTGACAAAATACCTCACAAAAACAACATAAAGAAGGAAAGACTTATTTTAGTTCACAATTTCAGAGGGATCAGTCCATGATCAATTGGTCTCATGTGCTTGGGAAGAACATCATGTTGTAGCAGAGAGGAGGATCAGAAGAAAACAGTCTAGGCCTAGTCTTGAGAAAGTAGCAGGGAGGTAGAGATGTCATAACAGAGAGATAAAACCTGAGAAATGAACATGAGGAAGGTCAAGTAGCACCAGGGAGGGGAAAGTCACATAGCACTAGGGTGAAGTAGCCAATAAAATTGAATATAATCATAAGTGGATTGGACCTTGCTTTTTGCTTCTATAACCTGCTTGCAAGGGTATATAAGGTGAGACCCCTTTGTTCTCGGGGCTCAGCCTTTGGACACGAGTCCACTGGGTCTGTGCCGGCACAATAAAACGTTGCTTTCTGCTAATTGCCTCAAGAGTCCCATATCTCAGCTAGCAAACTCCTGAAACAATGACAGCAGAAGGTTGTGGTGAAAGAGAGCTTCAGGAAGCAGAGTGTGACAGGAAGTGGGCAGGGACAATATGTCCCCAAGAACCTGCCTTCAGTGGCCTACTTCCTCCAGCTTAGGCCCCATCTCTTAAAGTTTCCAGAACTTCCCAACATAGCATCAATAGCTGGGGACCAAATACCCAACACATGAGCCTTTTGGGGGCACACTTTATATATTTCCAAACCATAACAAGTGCAAACCATTTTTTCCCATCTTCTCACCTGTTCTCCTGGTTCATCCAGCTCTCTCTCCAAATCCTCCAGTACAGTCACTGCTTCATCGCCACTTGCAGGGTGGTGCTTTCTCACCCAGGCCTGCAGGTCCCCAGGCAGGATGGTGAGGAACTGCTCCAGCACCAGCAGCTCCAGGATCTGCTCCTTGCTGTGCATCTCAGGCTGCAGCCACTGATGGCAGAGCTCTTGGAGTCTTTGAAGAGCCTCCCGGGGCCCAGGGGTCTCCTGATAGCAGAACTGCCTGAAGCGTCTACGAAAGATCTCTCTGGTATGAAGGTTATTTCTTGACCAGCAAGATCCTTGTCCACAGGCATGGTCCTTCTCCTCCTTTATCTTCACTTCCAGCAGTCCTTGTTGCATCTCTACAGTCTGAAGGGTAAAAGCTGTGGCCATTTTAGATTTAACTATTTAAAAAAACAACCTATTCTTAATAATTTCCCCTTAATCTTTTCTTCTAGAAATCCTAGAGATGTAAAAAATATTTGTCTAGAAAAATACATAAATGCAGAAAAATGTAGGGGTTAGGGGAATGTCCATAATAATACTGCTTGTCTCATGAATTATTAGAAGTAAATAATATTTAGAAAGTGCTTAGAACAGCGCTTGGCCAGCACATAGTAAGTGCTAGTTAAATACTCGTTTAAAAAAAAAAAAAGTCAACAGACAGCACGCGCCTTTAAACTATGTGAATCAAACTCCCAGGGGCTGTGGTCTACTTAAAAACTGTCTTTGCTCATTGTTTAAGGTCAGTTCAGAGTAGGGAATGATAAACGTAGCTATCCGAATCTATTCAGACCGTAGGATACAGTAGGGCGAGTTGACTTGGGCACCAGCTCCGGGGGCGGGGCAGGGATAGAGTGCAAGACTGACATTCAGTAAAGGGCGCCCTTCCAGGTTAGGGAGCAGCCTCTCCCGCCGCTCACCTGCCATGAAGCCCCCTGCCGCCTACCGGCACCCAGTCCCGGGTCGCAGCGCATCGACCCGCCCGTCCGAAAGCCCTCTGAGGCAGCCGGGACCGGAAGCTCACCGAGGCATCCGCGAGCGGACAGCCACCCAACCCAGACTGCGCCACCTCTGGCTCCTTGGAAACCGCAGCCCCGAGCCTGAGAAACTACAAAGGCCGGAAGTGCGTCACAGCGGTGAGCACGGGTTCTGGCGGCTTCCTTCTAGGAACCCAGGAGGTCTCCTCGAGTCTGTGGTCGCTGAATCCCCTCCCTAGGTAGTGAGGTGCTAGGTGGCTTAGCATCTCTTCCAAGGGACAATATAATAACTGCTGACAGGGCTCTGTACACAGATTAATTAATTTACTCCGTGTAACAACCTAGAAGCCATTCCCATCTAACAGGTGAGAAAACCAAGGCATATTCCTCTTACATTCATTACTTGTCATTTCTGCCAATAAATAAATAAATAAATCCTTCCCCCTCACTGCTCTCATTTTATTACAATGAACTCATGATTATTTTAAAATTCAATGTTAACGTTCAAATGTGGTCAGTTGGAGCCCTTGTACGCCGGTTTCTATGTCCTTTGATAAGTGCCCAATTTATTTTGTGCATTTTACTTTCGCACACGTTATATTCCAGCTCATTTGATACTTTCCTGCTCTAGACCTGGAATCCATGATTGCTTCATGAAGTCGTGCCTCCTTTTAGTAGAGAATAGAATGCAGAAACGCAACATCTGGGTTTTGGGCAACGCATAAGGTCATTGCTAATGGGATTATATCATTGCTTTTAGGACTTGTAAATAAACAAACATGTATATGATCTAAATTTTATAGGATATTCATTATTCAAATGCAAATCCGCAGAATTATTATTACACATTTGTTTCTCCTTTTACGCAGTTAAAAAAAAAAAAGACCTCTGACTCCCAATAGCCCAGACAAATTCACTCCATCTGCTCTGTTTTATAAACAAAATAGTTTCAAAATTACAATACCAACATTACTAGGAACAATAAGCCTACTATGTACAGTCCAAAATTTCTTGTCTTAGAAGGGGACCAGGAACTAGAGAAAAGGTTAGTTCGAGAAGAATTAACTTAGAAGGTAACACATATGTACAGGAAATCAATGCGAGTCAACTCCCTGTATAGCTATCCTTTTCTCAACTAGCAAAAACCCTTGATCCTTCCTAGTATTGCTTATACTCTCTTTTCAACAAAACTAGAGATAAGGGCAAAATAGTTTCTGCCTGGTAGCGAGGGGATAGGGCGGGAGAGGGAGGGGGAGGGGGAAGGGGGGAGAAATGACCCAAACATTGTATGCACATATGCATAAAAAATTTTCTTGTCTTATGTGTTCATGAATTATATCCTATTAAAGTATAGTCAGAATACTGTATGCATGCCTTATTTAACTAATTATTTTCTCTGCATGGTTATATTGTAAACTTGATACACAGGATCATTTGCTTCTGTTTGTATGCAATTTCAGGGTTGCTTTCCTTTCATCCCTTCTCAATCCTGTTTTTAAACATGCAAAAACATTCACTTAGTTCAAAATCAACATTATATCAAAAGGTATATTCAGAGGACTTTTGCTTCCACCCCAACCCCTTTATGCCATATATACTCATACCTGATTTTAATTAGTGTTTTTATGTATCCTTTCTCCTTTCCTTCCTCCTTTTCTCCTCCCTTTCCTATATCCTTCACTCTTTCCCTTCCTTCTTTTTCCCTTCTCTTCTCTTCTTTATTTCTGTCTCACAAAAATATTTATTTCCTTTACCCCTATAAGTTATAATATGTTCACTTTTTGTTCTTTATATTTAACAGTCTAGAAATTAAGTCTGTTATACTTTTCTTCTTATCTCTGCATAATAATCCAGTGTTTGGATGTAGCATAATCCTTTCAATCAGTCTCTTGGGGATGTATATTTAGGTTATTTCCAGTATTTTGCTTTAACAGCAAAATACTGTTTGCTGCAATAAAAAGAGGAAAGAGAGGAGAGGGGAAAAGAGAGGGAAAAGTGTTTGTAGGAGTTGTATCATTTTGCACTGTCAACCACAAAATGTGAGAGTGATTGTTTTTATATAACCTCATGAACTATATTTAGATCTTTGCATGTTGCTAATATGATACATCATTAGGTATTTCTTGAGTAACCACAAACTCAATGCTGAAATCTCTGCCAAAAATGAATTCACAGTATCAAATGTTGACAAGGATTATGGAGCAATGGGAATTTTCATATACTGCTGGGAGGCTCAGCATTCAGAAAGCTTGTTTACTCTAACTGGGGCTACCATAGGACATATGAAAACCTAATTGGTATCCAGGTACTGGTGGTTTACGCCTGTAATCCTAGCTACATGGGAGGCTGGAGGATTGCAGTTCATGAGACCCCCATCTCCAAAATAATCAGAACAAAATGAAATGGAGCTGTGGCTGAACTGGCAGAGGGCCTACTTTGCAAGCTTCAATTCCTGAGTTCAAATTCCAGTCCCACCAAAAGCAAAACAAACAATGACCAAAAAAACCTAGTTGGTGAAATGGGGGCATTTAGAATGTGAAGAGGACTAGAAATTAAAGACAGAAACTTGAGTGCACATGGCATGGTTACGGAAAGTGAAGTCAGTAGGACTAGAGAGTTCCTATAGGGTAGTAAGGGAAAATAACATCAGAAATACTGGGACCAAATTGTAGAGGAGGTTCTTGAATGTCAGACTGAGAAATTAGATACAGAAGTATGATAAAAGTAATAAAAAAATATTAATTGTAGAAGTAGAAAGGACTTTAGAGATTATGTCTGAATCTATAAATCACAGATGAGGAGTCAAAAATGGAGAAAGTGTGGGTGACTTGCCTAAGATTACACAGAAGCTAACTGAATGCTATAGCCTAGCACTCTTTCCTCACCCTCTGTTACCCTTCCTTTAAAATAATATCTCAGATATGTTATTTAGGTGCTAATTGTGATGTATTTCTAAAGCAAAGGAAGCAAAAATGGGGAAGAAAAGCAATGCCTAAACCTGTAACTACTCACTTGGGAAATGATATGGTACTTTGGACTGTAAGTGTGCTATTTCTCTATCTTTGATTTAATTATGAGTAGAATGTAACTGGCCATTCTGAAGCTTTGCATCTTTAACCATCTCAGAGGCATAAAAATAGAAACTCTGACTTTTGTTCACCCTGAGAGAATACAATCTGTGGACATTCTGATGTCAGAGGAGATGGAGATGGTGACAGACACTGAAGTGCTCATGTGCCTTCTCTGAAGAAACAAAAGCTGCTTGACATTTTAACAACAATTAAAGCAGTGAGGTTTTGATTAGTTGTGGGTTTTTTTAATGCTGAAAGAGACATGACCTCTGTCTGAAGGATTTTCCACAATTACTTAATGTGCAGGGTTTTTCTTTGTTGTGGATTCTCTGTGTCCAGTGAGATGTGAGCTCAGATGGAAGGCCTTTCCACATTGGTCATATTTGTAGGACTTCTCCCCAGTGTGAATTCTTTGATGTCAGGTAAGATCAAAACTTCCATTAAAGGTTTTTCCACATTCAACACATTTAACAGGTTTTTCTCCTGTATGAATTCTCAGATATTTAGTAAGGGTTGAACTTTCCCTGAAAACCCTCCCACACTCATTGTAACAGTTTATTAATGTCATCTTTTGAACTGATGAAATAGCTAATGCTGAGTAAGTTCTGTGCTGTTACTGAAGTAACACCAGTCCATAGTCCTTTTTGTGGGGTTTCTTTGAGGTAGGCTCTCATGAACTATTTGCTTGGCCTCACTATGAACTGTGATCCTCCTAATCTCTGCCTCCTGAGTAGCTAGAATTACAAGTGTGGGCCATTGGTGCCTGGCTTCAACTAAAATTTTTGCCACAATGATTTCAGTTGTAAGGTTTTGTACTAGTGTGAATTAGGAAGTATTTGGAAAGAGTTGTATTTTTGCTCTCCCACACTCATTACACTGAAAGGAGTTTTCCCTGTATGGATTCTCTGATGTCCAATAAGATTGGTGCTGCACATGAAGCTTTTCCCACACTGATCACATCAACGTCCCATTCCTTCCTCTGAATTTCCTTGATGCCTTCAAATATATCTTACATTTATGATGGTCTTCAAAATGAGTGCCCTGGAAAACATAACTTCCTCTGCAAAGCCTATTAAATATTGTCCTTGGTGATTCTACTCTTTTAGATGCTTCCTGCTTTGGAGCCAATTTCCTAATCTCAGGCTTGGAATCATACTCTAAAATAGGAAATACATCATGCAATCACTACTTTCCTTTTTTTTAACTTTTAATGGTGGAAAATCTTAAACATATGTGAAAGTAAAGAGAATAGAAATGTCACCTTTTGAACTGATGAAATCATAAACTCCTGAGGGATCATTTATTTCTTTTTCAGTTATACTTCCCAACAATCAATAAATATCTCTTCAATTCAATTAAAGAAAGGAAGTGCTAGAAATGAAAGGTTTAAATAGATAAATTCTAGGAAAAAATGATCTATGTAATACTAAGGTGGGATTGGGAACCATATTTACCACCAAAAAGGAGCAAAAATCATTAAAGTATACTGAAAAAATCTAGGTGTGAAAAAATGTTTGAAATTGCAAACATAATTATAGCAGAAAAGCAAAAGTATATCCAACTTATTGTTTGGGAAGAAAACTATACATATTAGCCTCCCCCCAAACAGTTCATTGCTTATGCAACATTTCCTGTTGCTTTGAGACAGGATCTCACTATGTTGCCAGGCTGGTCACAAATCCACAATTTTCCTTTTTCAGCCTCCCAAGTGCTGGTATAATAGATGTGTACCACCACACCCAGCTTGGGCAGTATTTTTATGAATATAATAAAAATATATCTTAGAGAAATTTGACCTGAAGGAGATACAGTAAATGTCCCATGAAGCTCATTAAAATGTACCTAAACTCACAGAAAACTATTGAAAAGGATTGATTTCTTGGCTCCCATAGCCACTTTATTTCTGTTTTCTGATAACAGATTCTGGAGAAGGTTAAGATTTAAAAATGAGGATTTTTATAAATAGAAAGCAAGTAGAAAATGTAGAAAAGCAGGGAACATCTAATCTAGAGTGCAGTGACAGGAGACGGTATTGGCAAGAAAAAAGAATTTAGTGTGTAAGAAAAGAGAATCATAGTCAAGTGAAAGATCTAAAGGTGACTTTATCACTGATGGTGGAGAAAACTTAAAAGTATAAAGGGTAGATATTTAGGAGGGTAGGAAAATAAGATATGCAGGAGGTCACTGAAAAGGAAAAGTAGTATAAAAAGTAATAAAAATGTGATAACTTAATGCTGTAGTAAAAAGCAAAGATGGATATGTGAAAACAAAGAGAATAGAAATCTTTTCTTAAAATATCTTGAATAACAGTTATACTTTATAAATACAGACATAGGTGAACCAAGAAGGGTTTGGGGGAGAGTTAGGGATACAGACATTAATCAATTAAGCTATAAAAATGGTTTTGGTTGGCCAAGTAAGAGTACCAATTATAACCCAATTCCCCAAATAAATTCCTCCTCTTTCTCCCTATCTCTCTCTTGTAGGGAATGGGATTCCAGAGAGTCATGGTTGAGCAGGCTCTCCAAGTGTTGAAATTGATAACTCAATGCAGCCCCCAGAGATACCACCTCCTTCCAGAACACTTCTAGTCCATCTGCTTGGGATGTGCCCTATTAGGGATTGCTGGGATTTAGAGAAAACTGCTCTGAAAACTAGACTGAAACTTCAGGAAACATTGCCTACAGAGACAAGAAAAAGAAAAAGGACCCAATGGGTTTTGGAGGTAAGAGGAAGTAGAAAAAAGAAACACCAAAGAAGGCTGATAGGGACAAAAATTCAGTAATATTGCATTACTGCATTACTATTGACCAAACCATTAAATGAACCATTTTGCCACCACTCCTTGTATTCCTACCTAAAATCCTGAATAATCAAATTCTCTTTCAAGTTTTCCAGCAAAGACACAGCATCCTCTCCATTCAATAGACATTGTTTCTTTGCCCAAGACTAGAGCTCCTCTGGCAGAGTGAACAGGAGCACCAGTAGCTCCAGGATCTGCTTCTTGGTGTGATTTTCTAGTCTCAGTCACATTTGCCAAAGTGCCTGGAGTTGACTTGGAACCTCCCTGGGTCCAGACATCTCCTGATAGCAAAGCTGTCTAAAGCATTGGTGGCAGACCTCTGGGCTTTGCAGGATGTTCTTCTGCAAGTCAATTTCTTGCACAAAAAAGTTATCTTCCTCCACCTTTACTATTGCAGGTCCATCCTGTTCTTCTCTAGTCTGGGTAATACAATCTGTAGCCATTTTCTCTCAGGAGAGGAGTCGCTACAGATGGTTTATACTCCAGTGAGACTACCCTTCAAAAATATATAACACATAATTAAAGTAAAAAGTGGCCACAGTTAAAAACAATCTAAATGTATGATTAAAGTTTGCCTATGCTATACCAATTTAAGAGAAGCAAAACAGAAAAAGTGTTTGAAGTTTTGCTAGCAATAATGCATATGATTTGGAGATTTCACATTCTTTGCAATGGAAAGTGGTATTACTTTTATAACAAAAAGTACTCTTCCTACTAATGTTCTTTGTGATTATTCTATTCAGTTAAACCTCTCTATTTTAGACAGGTCAAATGCACTCCACCTGAGGGCCTTCACACCTGCTTGCAATGCTCTTACTAAGATATTTGCCTAGGATATGCCTTCATTTCATTAAAACATGCCAGAAAATATTTCCTCAAAGGAGCATATAAAGCACTCTATATAAAAACAGCTCTCTCACCACTATCCACTGTCTTTCCCTACTGTTTTTCTTTATAACACTCACCACAGTCTGACATTAAAATATATAATAGAAAGCAAATAAATAAAACTTGCTTTTGGTTTGTTACCCCTACAATCATAAGCACAGAACTTTATCTGTTCTGTACACTGCACTATTCCTAGTGCCTAGAAGAGTGCCTGATGCATACTAAGTCATAGTCAATAACTATCTGTTGAAAAAATAAAGAATGGCTAACAAAAGTTATTAACTGTAAGACTGTCAGTCTCTTCTTTACCTTCACATAAACCCCAACAACATCCTGTCAAATTTATCTTCAAAACATTTCTTATTTTTTTCCTTTTCATTCTCAAAATATTTCTTGAATGAGGGCTGGAAGCATGGCTTAAGTGGTAGAACACCTGCCTGCCATGCATAAGGCTCTGAGTTCAAATTCCAGCAACACACAAAAAAAATTCTTGAATCAATTGATTTCTCTCTACCATCTATCTCATCTCATAAACTTCCATCATATCTCCCTTGGACTATTGCGACAACTTCCTGTTTCCCCACAGTCTCTCTCTCTCTCTCTCTCTCTCTCTCTCTCTCTCTCTGTCTCATCCAGGGCCTAATACATGTTAAGCACACAATCAAACAGTGAGCTATACTCCCAGTGCACAAAAACTTGGTCCTTTAATCAATTCTCCACGACACAATCACTGTTTTTTTTAAGTACATAAGATTCGTTCAGACTTTTCCTCAAATTCTGTGGGTCACAGTCCTTACTAATCCAAATAAAAATTTCAACAGTTTTTTTAGTCTACTGTTGATACATTATCTCAGTTTTTGTTTCTCCAAGGTAGTTATTACTCCACTTTTGTGCTTACGAATAATTTTACCTTAATTCTTGAAGGATATTTTCTAGGTTGTCAGTTAGTAGTTATTTTCTTTTACATTTCAGTTTAGAAAATGTTTCATTTCTGATGCTGCCACCATATCAGTTGAAAAGTTAGTCTGATCATTGTTCATTGGACAATAAACTATTTTTTAACCTGGTTGATTTTATTACTTTCTTTTAATACTTGAAATTTGGCAGTTTTCCTGGGACATGTCTCATTGTGGTTCTTTTTGTTTTTATCTCTCATGTTTTTCATAGTTTCTGTAATCCAGGACTTGAGGTTTTTTGATAATTTCACAGTGACTATCTTTTCAAATATTTTGTCTGCCCCCATTTTTTCACCTCTTCCTTTTAGATTCCAATTATACATACATAGACTTTCTTATTTTATACCTTTATCTCTTATCCTTCTTCAATGTATCCTTTTTTGTTTTTTTTTTGATAATACAATATTCTAGATATTTTCTTCTACTCTATATTCAATTTTTCAGTTTCCAAAATTTTCTCAAGTTATGAGATATTTGAGACATGACATATATAGTAAGAGCCTGCATATTTTAGAGATACATCTTGAATTATTAGCAGATAAAGTTATATGATATCTAGGATTTACTTTGAAATAATCCTAATGGTGGCATGGTGGAGATGGTGACAAAAAGTTAGCTTTGAGTTCTCAATTATTGAAGCTAGGTAATAGCAAATAACTGTTTATTAAACTAACATTTCTACTTTATGTTTTCTTATTTTACATTTACTGCTTACTTTTGGCTTTTTTACCCTCACAATAATAAACACAGGATCTCTCTCTCTCTCTCTCTCTCTCTCTCTCTCTCTCTCTCTCTCCCTTTCTCTTTCTCTCTATCTATATAAAACAACTGTGATAGAAATAATTTTTAATGAAGAGATTTAAATTCTTTAACATTTTGGCTCAAATTTAATTTATTATAATCTTTGTTATGAAGTATAGACTCAAGTTAATTATTCACCATACCAACATCCTATGGTATCAATATTGTTTAACAAGCATTTCTCTTTCTTATTGATATTTTCCTTATTTAATGTACAACATGTAAAACTCATAAAAATAATTTTATGTTTTAAGAAAATTTTCATACAGCTTTGACCATTATTTTTTAGGTTTTTAAGTTCTAACACAATAAGACACTTTTCTAGGTAATTCATTCCAGATTTGTTTGTTCCAGAACTTCAGATGTCTTTTGCATTTTTCATGATACTCAAAGTTCAAAATCATTTTCATACTAACTTTTGTTTTCTTATGAAGGTGCCATTTTCATAAGTAAAAGTTTTCTTGACTCTTGGACATGGTTTTGATGAAATACATATTTAAAAGTCAGGCGTGTTGGCTCATGCCTGTAATCCCAGAATTTAGGAGGCTAATGCAAGAGGATTGCTAGTTCAAGGCCAACTTGGGCTACATAGTGAGACCTGTTTCAAAAAAAACAAAAGACAAAACCAACTCAAAATAACAAAAGACATTTCCAGTTATTGTTGGGCCTGTCCATTAGAATATTGTTGGGCCTATCCATTTGAAATAAAACACCATTTTCTCATATTCACTTAGATGAAATAGCCTTCTTGAGAAGCCTCCGCAAGGCTCCGATAACGTCCTTATTCCTCAGGGTGTAGATGAAAGGATTGGCCATGGGAGTAAAAACACAGTAAAACAGGGTCAAGACCTTGATAACATCTTGAGGGCCATCCCCCGAGGGTTGCATGTAGATGTAGATACCAGGCCCATAAAATAAAGACACCACCAGTAAATGTGAAGAACAAGTGTTGAAGGCCTTACGTCTCCCAGCAGCAGAAGGAATTCGAAATACAGTTCGGGCTATGTAACTATAAGAGACAAGAATCATGGAGAGGGGACCCATTATCAGGAGTGTGGCTACTATTGCTAAAGTAATCTCATTGACTGTGGTATCCACACAAGCCATCTTAATAAGACCCGGTAACTCACAAAAAAAGTGGTCTAGTATCTGGTTCCCACACAGGGGCAGCTGGACTGTGAGTGTGGACTGAAGCAGTGAATTTGCTAGACCAGTGAGCCAAGCAGTGCTGGACAGCTGCAGGCTGACCTTATGGCCCATGATTATAGAGTACCTCAGAGGCTTACACACAGCCACATAGCGATCTAAGGCCATGATGCCAAGCAGGACACATTCAGTACATCCTAGCCAATGAAATATGTAGGCTTGGGCCATGCAACCTATGTACGTGATGTTCTTGTTGGGTCCCCCTAAATTGAACAGCATTTGAGGTACAGTTGTGGTGGTAAAACAGAGATCCAAAAAGGAAAGGCTGGCAAGGAAGAAATACATGGGACCTTGGAGCTGAGAATCCAGTCGAGATACCAGAATAATAGCAAAGTTTCCCAATAATGTGAACATGTATGAGGTGAGGAGGACAAAGAAGAGAGGAAGATCCAGCCAAGGATATTTGGTAAAGCCCTTGAGAATGAAATCCTCTGGAAAACTTTCACTCATGTGCTTCATTGAATTTTGAAAGGAGGGACCTGCTAAAATCAAGGCAGAAAAAGGTGATTTAAAAAAAAATCCTTAACTCTGAAGAAACTTAGAAACAAACATACTTTTATGGGGGGGGGAGAGATTGTGTACACCCTCAATAGAAATCACAGCAGCAATGAATAGAATAGCCATTATAATTAACATCACAAACACCTAAAAAGTTCTTCCAGTACAAAAAGTGGTTTTACACTTTTTTCTTTTCTTTCCTCTTTTTGTTAAGAAATTTTTGTGGTTTTATTGTATCATGAGACATTTAAAACATCTGAATGAATCAATGTCTGAGCAGTGAGGCAGCTGCTTTGTTCTAAACTTCCTTAGGTTATTGGAATAACTTGTCAGCAGATTTTTAAAAAGGGAAACAACTTTTCATATGGTTAAGTCTTTCCAAGGCATGTTTGGTACAACACAAACTTCTCCTGTCAGATGTACTAGTTTAGGTCAACAACCAAACATCACGCACAATACCTTGGTGGCAGTAGTGCGCTGTGCCCACTCCCACTGTGGTCCTGCTCATTTGTAATATTTGGAGCATTTGGAGGAGTGGGATGGTTTTAGGAAGAGGAATGAGGAGGAAGTAATGAGCAACTGGCCAGAGGAGGTTAGCCAAAGTTGTGCAGGGCAAACATGTTATTAGTGCAAATGCAAGCATGGTTGATGTTCTTTAATAGGGACATCTGGTGGAATCCCATTATGAGGTCTTCATCAGCCTTGAGTTGGTCACTGATGCTGATGATGCATCTGTCTGGCATAGTTTGACGGTCCTGTGCAGTGATGCTGTCCGGGTTTTCTGGAATAAGAGACTAGGTAACAGCTCCACAGCACAGCTTTCCCCTGGAATTGCTGTCCTTCCCATGTAAGGCATGACATTTCAATATAAATTGTCTTTATCTGGTAATAATGTTGAATGAAGCTGGATCACATTTGCTCCCAAAATGGCTTGTCTCTCATCCTGGAGTATCAACTGGCCTTGCTGAGAACTAAGGAGCTGGCATGTTGGCAGGAATGGAGGCAGCAATCCAGTTGCAGTCCCTTCTCTTCTCCTATTCCCTTCCCTTCCTTTCCTTTTCATTCCCTTCCCTTCCCCTCCCTTCCCTTCCCTTCCCTTTCCTTCCCTTCCCTTCCCTTCCTCTCCCTTCCCTTCCCCTATCACTTGCCTCCCCTTCTTCCTCCCCTTCCCTTCCTCTACCCCTTCCCTTTCCTTCCCTTTTCCTCTCCTCCTCTGCTCCTCCTCATCCTCCTCCTTCTTTTCTCCCTCTCTTTCTGCTGAGGATCCAACTCAGGGTCTCACAAATGCTGGGTAAATACTCCATCGATGGGTTACATACCCAGCCTAACAATTTTTTTCCAAAGTAAAAGCTCTATATTATGGTTGTTATGGCTCTTCTGATTAAAGAAGTCAATGGAACATGGGCAATGTATTCTTTTCTGAGATACCTTGCATGAGGGAGTAAGTGACTTAGGTTTAGTCAATCAGATGCTCCTACCCAGGATTTGAATCCTGTGAAATGATGCAAAGGAATGAAGTGGAAAAGGATATCAGACAGAGAGCAGACTTCCTTATTAATGTCCCATGGTGACAGTACCAAAGAATATGTCCTTTATAATCTCTTCCTGGAGTAGGACCCTGACTTCGTCTTCGTTCCCTTCATTTCTTTCTCTTTCTCTCTCTCACTCTCTTTTTGCTAAGTTTTGTTTTCCATTCTTCCCATTGATTTTGAGAACTACCAATTTTCTACTATTTTCTTCCTGCTTAAGTTACCACTGGTTTCCTTGTTCAGGAACCCTAATTATACAGAAAATGGAACAAGAAAGTAAGTTGAAATATTTTGCAGGCTTCTTGTAAGCCAGGGCATTGATGAGGAAAACATGGACTTTCCAAGAATTAGAACTAAGATATATGGACTTCTGGTATGTCGTGGTACATCATCACCCACCTTACCATTCTAGTCAAGGCAATATTTCTCTTTTGTCTGATAAAGCTTTTTTGTGTGGCTATGTCTTTTAAGAGAATGAAAAGACAAATCACAGACTGAGAAAAAAATATTTGTCAAAGACATGTCAGATAAGGGACTATTAAAAATATACAAAGAAATCTGAAAACTCAACAATAAGAAAATAGACAACCCGAATAAAACCTGGGATAAAGATCACAACAGACTCTTCATGAAAGAAGATATGTAGATGACAAATAATTATATGCTAAGTGATACTCTACATCATACACCACCAGGGAAATTCAATTAAAAACAACAATGAAGTACCACTATACACCTACTGGGAAGAATAAAATGCAATAGGATTTCCTTTTCATTGTTGGTGGTGACTGTACAATGATACAGTCAACTAGAAACACTTCGGCAATTTCTTACATAGTCTTACCATATTATCCGGAAATTGTACTGGTCAGATCATCCAGCTCTGAGCCCATAGTTTTATTTCATTTGTGTCACTTTGGAAACTTTCCTGGCTAAGTCTACTCAAATCTGCTTATTCTTTTCTTTGTTGTTCTTTTTTTCTTTTCATTACCAATGAACCAAGAGGAGCTGCTCTTCATTATTTTACTTTGCTCTTACTGGGTTTTGCCTTTATGGACTTATTTATGTTGCCTCATCTTTGTTTTATAACTGTTTACTTAAAAAGATCAAAACACATATTCATGTCTCTTATTGTCATAGATTTCAATTCTCTAAGTCCTTGCTAGACCCATAAATTGGCATTTTCAGCCAGTATTTCAGATGATGCAAGTGATCTTTGGATTATACTTTAAGAAATATTCATAACTGCCAGATGCAGTGGCTTAATCTATAATTCTAGCTACTTGAGAGGCAGAAGATCAGGAGGATTATGGTTTGAGGTCAGGCCAGCAAAAAGTTTACAAGACCCCATCTTAACCAATAAAAGCTGGGCACAGAGTCATGCATGTGTCATCCCAGCTTTGTGGGAAGCATAAGTAAGAGGATTATGGTTCAGGCCAACCCAGGCCTAAACCTGAGACCCTGCTCAATAACTAAAGTTGGCTGGTGGGATGGCTCAAGTGATAGAGTACCTGCCTAGTAAGCACAAGTACCTCCACAAAGAAACATTCATAACTTATTCTTATTTATTCAATAAGAATACTTTAGTACCCATGTATTGGTCACCACTCTAGGGGCTGGAGATATGCAATTGAACAAATCAATATTGTCCTATCAGATCTTACAGTATAGTTGAAGGGGACAGGAACTAGACACAAGCAAATAACTTTATAATAGTTCATGTTATCATAAACACTAGACAGGAAAATAATTCAGCAGAAGGGGAGAAAAGACAGCTGAATGGATCTTAAATTTTTCTGTAGGGTGGTTAATGAAGTGGGATTTTGAGTAGGGGCTTGAATGAAGAGAGGGAATGAGGCATGAAGAATTCAGGGAGAAGCGTTTCAGGTGGAAGGTACAACATGATTCCTGAAGCAGAGGTGTGCTGGATGTGATTGAGTAGAAGCAAAAAACAAAAAACAAAAAAACACTACACTAAGAGCTCAATAATTGTAGCCTACCTCTCAGAACAACCAAAAATTATAATTTTCCATTTAGAGAAGAAAATGAGAATGGAAGAATGGATAGTGAGTCATAGGACACTTCATCCTCCTTCCAAACTTTAAAGTCTTCATCTACTCACCAATAGTAACTTCACAAATCCCAACCCAATTTCCGGGTAGCTCAGGTGTTCCCAAAGATCACCCTATGAATGGGAGAGCCAAATTTTCCCTATATCTATTCCACCTCCCACCTAGAAGAAATAGGCACTTAGTATCTAAAGAGCAAGGTAATAGCTGCAAGAAATTATACAAAAGAAATAAAATACATTACTCCTTCCTTTAATGTCCTTATAAGCTAAAAAATAAAGTCGTTATAAGCTAAAGTTATTTCGTAAGATGAAATGTGTATCCAAAAAATTAACATACCTACACATCCTAAAACATAGAACGTAGTGTTAATATTCAAATTCAGAGAATGTACTAGTTGACTATTTTATCATTTACTTATATATTCACTTATTAAATTAATATACTTGTATACCTACCAAACACACAGCACTGTGTAAGGCACAGTAGGGCAGAAAAACCAACAAAAGCTAGCCTCTGTTTCCAGAAAGCTGTATACTAAGACCTCTCAACATGTACATAAATAACTAAAAATAACTAAGAATGTGCTGAGTGCTACCTTACATGTGTAGGTAAAGGATAAAGAGTTCTAAGGTGGAAGAAATTACTTATAGATAGGAACCCAGGGTGTGGTATTTATCATGAAAATAAATACTATTGAGCTAAATCTTGAAGATTAGACATGGATTTCACATTAAACCTAGCATATATAACACATGAATTTGTGTTTACCTATTAAAATGGCAGTGAAAGAGTAAAACCATAAACCTATAAAGAAAAGTAGGATGAGAAAGGAGATAACAGCAGAAAAATAATGTCAACATTTTTGAAACTAGAAACCAGATGTCTAGGTGCTAATGGGCATAAAGAGTCAAGAAAACAGAAACCATAAGCAGTAATTCAGAGTACACAAGGAAGTAGATTCACACAGGAGAAATTCAGAGAGACCCAGAAACTAGAAAATAATATAAATAAAAGATTGACTGAAAAGACTGAAAGACTTGGAAACCTTTCAGAAAGTAGAAAAAGACAGACATAGAGAAAAATAAAGTATTAAAGGATTTTAGAGAAATTAATAACTCTTCTCTGTTCTGAATTTAGAACAAAATGAAAAATAGACATAGATGCCAAGAAGGTGGAGATCAACATGTTTGCATTATTGTTATTAGTGCTGTTTGGAGATTGTGGTTCTAGTCATGCAATCAAATCATCTCGCTTTCACACACACAGAGGAAAGAAGGGGGAGAAAGGAAGAACCAATAGTTCAGGGCACAGAGAAGCAGAGCAGAATGAATCCTGAAGTCAGACTGGATTCAGACAGAGA